ATGCTTGGATTAAGGGTGTCCCCTCCCTGGGTGTGAGTGCTACTTGCCCTAGGCTACTTGCCTATGGGTGGGTGGCCTGGATGGAATATAAGGGACAGAAAGAGCCAGGCATGGTCGTGCACACCTGTAAGCCCAGCACTCAAGAGGCTGAGGCAGGAGGATTGCTGGGGAGAGGCTAGCTTGTGCTACATAGTGAGTTCAAGGCCACCCTGGATTACATAGTGAGATCTTGTCTCAAAAAACAAACAACAGAAAAAAATATAGAAGAAGGCTTCTGCCACGCTTGCTACTGCTGTTTATTTCATTGAAGATACAAGAACCGAGGAGTGTCACCAGTTCTCCACAATGTGAGGACCCAGTTCCCAGTGACACTATTATTCATTAGTAGAAAAATTAAACATATATATATATATATATAGTCTCTTTAATTACTATTTTTAAGAATAAATAGAAGCATATCACCCTCACTTCCCCCCAAATAATATTACAAATAATGTAATGCACCTACCAGTGAGAGGCAAGAATTATTAAACTCATAAGAAAAGGAAGGTCCTGAGGTTCTGAGGCAGCCCCAGTATTAAAGAGCTATGTGAACTCAGCTTCAAGAGGGATTCTGGTTTGATGTTGGCTTTGCTGCCCAAGATCTTACCCATCACCTTCTTCTGCATAAAAGTCAGTGGATAATTCCATTGTCCATGAGTGTTTGAACAACTACTGTGCATAGAAAGCCTGTCTTTCACTCCTCATCAAGGACACTCCCATTTCCTGGAGACCAGGAAGTCACTCAGAGAGGGAGGTGAGATTTGGGACCCAAAAACCTGCATTCCGAACCCCATTCTACCACTGATGGGCCGCTGACCTTGGCCCAATCCTCAGTGTTTCTGAACCTTGTGTGCTGGTGAGGAAGAGCTGTAAGCCAGTCTCTCCTAGCTGTGCACCCCTGAGGTTAGGTAGACACTTCAGAAGCTTCCATGTGTGGCTGGTCTGCAAGGATGGCTGGATCAGTCTGTGCCTTTGCCCTTTCACAGTACAAATGGCCCCTTCCTGGTGTAGAGAAAGAGGACGTTTAGAGACAGGGGAGATAAAAGACCAATCTGCATCTTTCCAGAATTAGGCTTGACTCACCTCTTCGTGCTGGATCTTTGATTTCTTTAGTCTCAATGAGACAGTAGCAAGAACACTGTCCTTTTACTTTTTATTGACTACAGTGCTTAGAATCTTCCCTTACCCTACTACTTCTTGCCAGGGGCTGAGAGGTGAGTATTTCCATTGTCTGAAAGGACTTGGAGTGGCTGCCTGCTTGGTGATTTGGGACAGATGAGAGGTGAATGCTCAGGCTTTGATGCTGTCTCTGCATACCTGGAGGGCTCCTGCCCCAGACAGGGAAGTGTGCTGATTTGTAATAAAATCTAAGGTCTTCTCCCAGAGACATCCAATCCTGACTCTGATCTCACTGTGGAAGCTTCCTCATTATTCTCTAATAGGAGTGAAAAAGCAAAGAAGCTCTCCTCTGGACAGTCTCTTAGGGGAAAATTTACAGATATTATGCAATCTTGTTTCTCCTAGCAACATGTAGCCCATCTTCTGGGGAAAGTGTGTGCAGCTTTGTTTCATGTATTTATGAACAACAGAAAACGTTAGCAGTCTGCTCATCCCATCTGCTTCCTTGCCTGCACTGTGGCATCAGAGGGCCTTCCAGCCCCAAGGGATCCATCTGAAGGTCTTGTGTCACTATGGGGCCCTGCCTTTAGGAAGGTGGAGGCCATTTGTTCTTCTAGGAGAACTCTCTCAGAAGAGGAATTGGGAATTTGGCCTTTGAACTCTTCTCTTCCCAAAATGTGGCATATGGTAGCCATAATGGGCTCCTGAAATGTGCTTAGCTGGTCAATAGACAACAATGAAGCAAAGGGGTGGGTGGGCTTTCTGATGCTCTGACACAGGTGGCTGACAGATAGGGAGCCCTAAGCTGAGCTCCAGAAGTGGATACTCAAAAGAAGGGAAGGTGAACTGAGGCCCTAGGGTTTGGAGGGAGCCAGAGGGGAATAGGGGACAGGGAAGAGAGAGAAACAGGAAAGGACAAGGGATGAGAGAGAAGGGAGGAGATAGTGAGGAGGATAGCAGAGAGGAAGAGGAGGAGAATGGAGTGGGGAGAGACTGCACAATAGCTCCAAACTGGAATATATCCTGTGATCATGCTGACCTGTGACAGACAGAGACCCCAATAACACATGCATTCTCCCAGGCAGTCTGTGGAGGCTCCATTTGCATTGTCTCATTTCACTTCCATGGTGATCTGTGCCTTAGATAGCATTGCCTTTTTACAGATGAGGAAATACAGGTGAAAAGTGACTCTGTCCAAGACCAGAGTGCTGGGTTCTTGGAATCAGCTCCTGGACTGCTAGGTGTCCATCTGGACTGATGAATTTGCCTGATCATTTGGGAAACCAGTCAAAGAGACCCCAGCAAGCTCTGCTCCAGAACTACTCACCAGTGACCCAGAACAGAGGCCTGGCAATGGGTGTGGGTAATGTGCATTGGGTGATCCCAACCATCAGTTGAATTTGAGAAACAGGGAGCTGTCTGTCCTCAAAGCCTGCTGTAAAGGGAACCACCTGGGACCACTCTGAGGAGTCCTGGGGGAGCCAGAGGCCATGAGTGGGATGCTTTCAGGAGCAAGGCTGAAGGTTTTATAGCAAATGAAAAGGACTTTCAGGTCCAACAATAAGCCACTAGGGAGATCTGTGCTGGTACATCTGAACAGAACCCTGAACACCAGTCACCTTGGTTTGCCAAGATAGACTATTTCATTTGCTAATGAAAATATATCTGAGAGCAATGTTGACAGCATGAGGCCACCATGTGTGCAAATTATAATCTTCAATTCACTGTTTATGAGGATGTCTGAATGTCCATTCAAGGATGCCACCTAGAATACTTAGGTCCAACCAGAGACAGAAGCATGGGCGTTGTCCATTCTAAGAGGACAAGGAACATGGGGACAGTGAACTGAAGAGTATGCCCACCAAAAAGCAATGGGATTTTAAAATGTCAAGGAAAATGTTCTCCCCAAATAGATCCACAGGCCCCCTGATCTCTAATGTATAAACTAAATATTAACAGTGGTTGCCTTTGGGTGGTGAGATTTGAAGGTTCTTACTTTTAAAAAATTGTATAGAGTTTTTAAAAATTGCAGTTCTTTTCCAACTGTGACCATGCACACATGACTTACAAAAGGTGGGAATGACAGCAGGACTGAACTGCTATGTGTGTCCCCATGTGGTGCCTCACGAGGGTGGCTCTCTGCACTCCCTGCAGACCAGAACACCGTGCGAACTGGAGACCTCTCATCTCGGGGAGCAAGGCAGGGAGGGGTCCCCAAAACTGCACTCTTGGCCTTGGGTAGCATCTCCCAGAAGACAAGCCAAGTGGATGGCTCAGGACCCCAGGAAGCCCTTTGCCCTCAAATCATAGGAGCAGGGACAATAGGAAAAGGCCTTGTGGTCCAGCCCCTTACTAACTGGAAGCTTTTTATTTTTCCTTTTTTAAAAAAAAAAATCTATAAAGCCTTGACTCAAGCTGTATGACTTGGAGACTTGGTTCAATTGGGTCTTAGTTGCCTTGTTGCCTAAAAGAACAAAAATATCTTAGGAAAGAGTCTTTCTGCCCCTTCCACAGTGGGACCCCAAGACCCCTCTCTGCTTCACAGGGTCCAGGAACTTTACAATGGACTTGAATGTCCTTGAGACAGCCTCTCCCCTTCACTGAACCATAGCCCCTTTACTTGGGGGGTAAATACCATTCCTTGGCTGCAAAGGAGAAGGCAGTGGCACCTGGAGCCCAGGTGTCACACGTCACATTGTGACTTCACAGTCCTATGCCGTGGCTAAGTCCACTCACCTTTCTGGGCCGCACTTTCTGTAGCAGTGAGATGAGACAGACTACCTAAGGGTGGAATTCTGGGCCCAACCACTAAGGTCGTGGACAGAAACGCAGCAGCTCTCTTGTTGCAGCAGGGCTGGCCTTCCCTAGACGGTCAGTTATCTTTCATCCTCACAAGACTCAAGGCTCAGAGCTGGTGAGGTGGCTGAGGTCACTCACACCCCAAGAGGCAGAGATGGGATTCGGGACCAAGCAGTTTTGGGCCACAGTGTGAATGAGCACCTTATAGCTCCCAATCCCTGTGCAAGCTGTGACAAATGTCTGGCTCTCCCGCCAGGGGCCAGGCTTTCTGAGCAGCTTTCCTGGGGCACAAGCAAGAGGTATCTGCTTGGCCACACTCCCTGAGCCAGCTGGATTGGGAAAAAAAGCGGCAGGGCTGAGGGAAGCCACGTGCTATCACCCAATGAGCCAGGGGGCTGCACAGCTCACACCCGCAGCCTGGGACACGGGAGGCGATGGCACCTTGGAGCCTGGCGCTGACTTGGCTCTGCTGGGGTCTCAGGAAAGTCAATCTGCTGTTTCCTCATCTTGTTCAAAGAGGGAAAGCATACACATCTCACAAGGCTGTGTCCCATCTGAGGAGGGCAAGGCCCCGGGGGAGGCACACGGCCCAGGAGTTGTGCTAAGTGCTGCTGCTGCCACTGAGGTGGGGCAAGCGCCTGAGATGCTGGGGACAGGGCACCATGGCACCCTCAGCTTCGGGCCCAGGGGAGCTGAGACCTTGCTCGGTGGGTGTTCACGTTCTCTGCTAAACAAGACCCACAATCACACGCACGCTGGGGCTGTAGGGGCGGTGGGTCCTGCATGTCTTGTGGGCAGCAGCTGGGCAGCTGCACTTCTTCCAGGCTGTGGGGTAGGACCCCTGGAAGGACCACTGAGGAGCTGATCAGAGGGCTGCTCAGGGGGCAGCTTTCCCCGCCAATCAATTCCAAACTGCTACACTCATAAAATCACCAGGGCGTCCACAGTACAAACAGAATTCTGCTTAATAGAATCACATTCTTTTAAAAAATAAAATTAAAAATACATATAGGCAAAGGAAGAAGCACAAGATGCTGGTAGTTTTTTCCATTGCACCTTTATTGTCGACTGTTCACTGTTCAGAATTTCATACAGACTTTCTGGAACCACAGAGCCCCGTGGAGAGTGCCCTCCCCGACCTCCCTGCTGATTGCCAACAGCCTCCTCTGCCCTGTGTCCTCACCTGTGTGACATCCTGCCTGTGTCCCAGGAGTGACCAGGCCTGGTTACTGCTACAGGGACGGGGAGGCAGGTGTGCAGAGCTGTGTCCCTGTCCGGCCCTGTTCCCTGCCACCTCTCCCCGTCTCCTTTTCCTCTCTTCCTCAGTAGCATCCAGGCACTCTCTAGGCTGAGCAATCTGGTGGGGCTGGAGTCCTAACTTCACAAGGAGCCATGTGACCCCAGGGAGCTTTCTGACCTGAGCCCTCCCTTCTTCTATGACACGCGAAGACTCTTTTTCAGGGTTACCATGAGGATCCATGACTTGTACGTAAAGTTCCTAGCACACAGCACGCCCTAAATACACCTCAGCTTCCTTCTGTCTGGGGGGAAGAGAAGGTATCTGATGAATCAGTGTCAGAGTCAGGTGCTTGGGGCATTTGCTTTATAAAAGAGCCTGGTCCCTTAGTAGAGCCCAAGAAATGGCTCTCTAATGGTGGAATTTCAGGAAGAAGGGAGAGACTTCCTCAGAGCCTGAGCCCCTTTTGCTGCCCTCTTGACAGGCAGAATACTGGCCCCTGCAGCCAGGCAAGGGCCATTTCAGGGAGCCAGGAAAATAGGGCAAATCTGTGTTTATTCCACCACCCCTGCCAGGGAGGAAGCTTCACACTGGGGAAACCCAGAGCTTTAAAGCACAGCAATCGCTCGGGATGATCAGCACACCCCCTTCCGGGGCGCTGACAAGTCACCTGTCACAGGGGTCCTCACAGCCTGAACCACTGTGGGCTTTGTGTCATTGACACCCCACCCACCTGCAAAGGGGACACTAGGCATCTTGCTAAAGAAGGAATTATGCACCTAAGGCTGAGTTTCCTCCTGCTCATCCCATCCCTCATGGTCAATGAAATCAAAATCTGAGAAAAGAATGGCTGCATGAATGAAATAATAATGCTGCCGGCAAGATGCTGAATATTCCGTCCAGAGTTTGATCTGCAAAGCTCACCACTCTTCTTCCTCAGCCGTTGTCCTTTTGCAAGTTTTTTTTTAAAGCTGATCTATCGCTCAGCCCTTGTTCATGCATAGTTCTCAGTAAAGATAGGGTGCATCTAAGGTCTGCATGCCCACGATTGTTTCATATCTCTGATATAACAACAAAAAGCCGCTCGACAATCTTAAAACATGCACCAACCAAGACCATGGCTGGTATTACACAAAAATGTCCTCCAGACCAGAGAGAGAGAGAATAGAGAGACAGAGAAGAGAGGAGAGGAGACACAAGAGCAAAAGGCAAAAGGTTCCAGATGAGACAAGAGGACTACAATGCTACACAAAAGAAATTCTGCGGTTGAGAAGAGGGGGCAAAGCAGTGGAAACTAAAGAAAGCACTGCGGATTTGGAAGTGCCTCTCCAAATATTCGGTTCATGCTAAAAATAGAGCACGTTTATTAAAAATATATATTTATAAACGTTGATATGAACAGATACACACGTCAAGCCAATGAAAAAGAAAAATAAGTTATCTCCCCAGTAACCAATGGTCAGACACTGTGACAGCGGACACCTGTGCCTGCAGAAGGTCCATCCCCGTGGCTGCTGCCGCCGAACAGCTCATCTGGTGAAGGTGGAGTGCGCGCCTCAGAGACGCCCCGCTGAGCTGCGTCCATCCTGGGCATCCTCTCCAACACGGGGAGTACGAGGTGTGTCAGCGACCAGGAGCAATGAGTTTCTGCACCCGCCCGCTTGCTGGTGGTTCCCAGGGCTGCACTTCCGAGCACGCTCCCAGGGCTCCTGTTAAAGCCGCTGAGTTCCTCGGGGCATGAACGAGTTTTGTTGGATTCATTGTGCTTTGGTGTCTGCTCCTAGCAGCAGGATCGGTTTCTTTTGTGACCTTTTATGGAGTTCAGAGGGGCATGGATGCAGCGGTTTGTGTCGGGCCTGGCGGTCCTCCCGGCGTCTGGTCACTGATCGGAGGACACACAGGACTCCTGCCGCGTGGCCATTGGATCCTCTGAGGACACGCTGGGCCACTCACAGTGTGGTGTATATGTAGACGAAAATGATAACGATCAGGTTCAGGATGGTCCCGATGATCCCCAGCATGGCCAGGATGCTCTCCTCTTTGCTCTCTTTTTCTTGACCTCCTCTGTCTTCATCATTTCCGCTCGTGATTACCATCTTGGTTGCAAATGTCTTTATCTTCCTCTCCAGGCTAACCTGCAAGTGGGAAGAGGCAGCACAAAAGATTATCATTTTCCAGGGTCCTCTCCACAGCCAGGCAGAATCGCTGGGGGTGGTGATTTCATGCTTCGCGCCTGGACCGCAGGACATAGTCACTGACCCACTCTTGGGATGCGCTGCTGGGAAAAAGCAGAACATGGCCATCGAATGAGCACAAGAACATGAGTCCAGACGTCCAACCTGGGCACAATGGCTTTTTGGAGCCTGTTCCTCCCTTTCCGTGGAAGCAGAAACCAAACCCCTGTCCAGCAGTCAAGTGAGAACTCGTCAGCTCGGCCAGGGTGGGGAGAAAGTTGCAGACTTTCACATACTGGGTCACACCCAAGAGGTGTGGCATCGTGTGGTCAGGCAGGCTGCGGGGGCACCGTGGTCTCACCCATTCTGAAGCTGTGGCTGCAAGAGGGGCAGGGTGGATGGGACCCAGGAACTCAGAGCGGCTGGCAAGAGGTCCACGTGCAGTACAAGGGAGGCAGCACTGCGCGGGACCTGCAGGGTCTCTGCTGGGAATGAGACTGCGCCATCGTCCCAGGAAGCCCCCTGGTGTTCCCTGAGGGAGTGACGCACACCCTGCACTTGGGAACCTGCTGTGTGCTCACACCTGACAGGAAGTCCTGCTTCTGCACAGCTGGACACCAGGACAGAACATTCCTCCTCATTTCCCCTGCCACAGCAGAGCCGTGGATGCCTCAAGGGGCGAGCAGATGCTCACAGGTGGCAGAGCCTACGGCGGGCCAGGCACAAGGACGACGTGGAGACTCGGGTTCCCCAGGACAGCACACCGCAGCAGAGTACGTGCACTGTGACTCGACTCCTAAAGGCTCAGAACTGGCAAAACCACACAGGATAGTGTTTTAGAGGTGCATACTTTGATTTTTATAAAAAGCAGAGAGATAGTTTGCGCAAAACTCAGGAGAGGGGCTTCCCCAGGCAAGAGCACAATGGCATGATTTGGGAAAGGGCCCACAGCCTTCTAAGACACTGGCCACTGCCCCCCTGCCAAGGTGGGTGCTGGGCACTTGCCTGTTTATTTTTCATTATTCTTTAAACTGTAAGGCATTTATTTAGCTAATCTTCTACATGTATGTTATATTTTACAATAACCCAAATTATTTTTTAATTAGCATGGCCATCCAGGGCATGATGGGCAGCTGAAACCTTCTTCCCTGCCAATTTTTAATCCAAACCATGTGTAAAAAGAACCAATGTGTGGGTATGTGCTGGGAGGGGATAGACGTTTCCTCTGTCAGAGAGCTGCAGCTTTATAGCCAGAAGGCTCTCCATGCTTTGGGGCTGTGATGGTTAATTCCATGTGTCAACTGCCAGGGGCCAGGGCTCCCCAGATAATGTCGGAACAACATTCCAGTGTGCCAGTGAGGGTGCTTCTGGACCAGATTAGCCCTGGATTGGTAGACTGAGGAATGCAGATGGCCCTCCTCTATGTGTGTGGGCCTCAGCCAGCAGGGAAGTAGGAAAGAAACAAAAGGTAGATATTCCCGAAAGAAAGAGGCTGCCCTCTGCCTGACTGCCTTTAAGCTGGGACACTGTTATATAGTTCGTAGCAAATATGTCCCCCAATGGGTCGTGTGTTCAAGTGTGGGGCTTTGGGAAGGTGATTAAATTGTGGGTAACCTTACTGATGATCCTCTAATGAGTTCACAGCTGACTGTGCTGTAGGAGGTGGGCATGGCTGGAGGAAGGAGGTCACTCAGGGGGTGTCTTTGAAGGGTACATTTCCTTCTATCTCTGCTTCCTGCACTGCCATGAGGTGAGCAGCTCTTTTCCACCAGACCCTTTCTGCCTAGGGGCAAGCTGACCAGGGACTGAAACCTCTGAAACCATGAGCCAAAATACACCTTTTTTTCCTTTAAGCTGGGTATGTCAGGTATTTTGTCCCAGTAATAGAAAGGTGACAAGTATACACCAACCTTTTTCTGCCTTTGGTCTGAAACTTTCAAATTTCAATCAGCCTTTTCTAAAAGGGTCTTGGCCTTCAAGTCTTGGAACTGGAAAGGACTACACCACTGGGTCCCCTAGGCCTCCTGCCGGCTGATGCAGCCTGTATACCTTAGGATGTGTTGGTCTCCAAAATCATGAGTCAGTTCCTCATAATAAATTGGTTTACACACACACAGCCTCCTATTGCTTCTCTTTCACAGGCACACCCTGACTAATGTGGGAGTCCGTGACATCTCAGGGAATATCTCCAGGGAGGATCACCAGCAGGAACCCAGGAAGGGGGACTGGCTTGGTGCTCCTCTCACTACAAGCATGGACCCCTGAAAGAGCTGGGCCTCACCTCATTGATCAGCGCAGGACTTAGGACACAGTGTCTGTGGGGAGACATCTGTATGTAGGGATGGTACGCCAGTGCAGACTGGAGGAACGAATGGATGCAGCAGGAATGTGTGCAGAAGTAAACAAATGCATGTCCTCCAGGGAGGCTTTGGTTCCTTCACACTTTGGTTTGCTAGACACGCTTTGAGTGGTTTCCTATTCCCAGCGCTCAGCTAGGAAAAGCTTCTGTTTGCTTTTCTTTCTTTTTTTTCCTTCCCCTAGAATAATTTTAATAATGTATAATGAACACAGAGAGAGGTGTGTACAGTTTAAGCATACAGCTTGATACATCTGTTTAACAAGCATTAAGATTGAGAATCAGAACCTGCTACACCCAGGGGCCTCCTGTGGTGTCCCATCTGGTCACTGTCCCTTCCTCAGCTCCTGAAAACCACTACATAGCTTCTACCATCACAGGTCGGTTTTGCCTGGTTCTAAATTTTATATAAATTGAGTCATACAGTATGTTCTCTTACATATCTAACTTTTTTCCATCAACATTATTTTTTAAATCTACCCAGGTTGTATGAGCTGTGGGTATTCTACGTCCGTTTATTATGAATAATGCTTCCTGTATGGGTTTTCTGGTGAACATATGTATGCATTTCCCCAATATTTTACACGAAAAATTTTAACATGCTGCAAAACTGAAAGAACTGTACAGTGAACATCCCCACCCTTGGCATCTAAACTCTGCCACTGACACGCTGCTGGCCTGTGCCAGCTTTACTACACACCTACCCATCCCTTACCCCTGCACCTTTCTGGGTGCATTTCAAAGTGAACTGCAGATGCTATGACACTTTCCCTTAAAATGCTGCTGCATACATATTTTAACTAAAGTCCAACAGCTCTTTCTTTTGATGTAAAATGTATATTTGTACAGCTTCCTTGGCAATAGACCCCTGGAAAGGAAAGGCCAAGGCGTAGGATGTACACACTTGTGACTTAGTGGCTCCTAACAAACAGCTTTTCAGGGCAGTGATTTCGGATTGACACCCTCCCCAGTTTGGCTCACTTTGCAGGAAGCCAAAAGAAGGTGTGAGGATTTTCGAAAACCATTTCCTCTTTCACTCTGGACAGAGGTCTCGCCAAACACCCGTCATCTCTTCCCGAGGTCTCTTTGTGTATCTGTCTTTTTAGAGAGACTGTGAGTCCCGGGAAGGAGAGCTTTTGAGCCGCTGTCCCCAAGCACAGTGCTGCATGGAGCAGGTGCCCAGCAGAGAATACCAACCTGGGCTCTCTGCAGGGCAGGGAATGGACAGCCAAGGCCAGCCTTAAGAGATGTGCTTAGTGCTGTGCTTATTACCAGAGCCCTATATCTTCACAGTCACTCAAGTACAACAAAGTGCCTGTCATGGAGGCTGCTTGGTTTCAAGGCTTAATTTAGCTCTTCCCCGAGTTAACCCTAAGATAGCTCTGACTCAGGAGGAAGTGGAGGGGATAATGAGGTCGGCTGTGTTTCCATTCTGAGGGCTCTACAGCAGACAGGAAGAGCCCTTCACCAACGCACAGGAGAGAGGGGCTCCAGAAACTCATTTCCATGTTGCTCTGGCCATCAGCCTGACTTTCCCCATAGAAACCACGTCAGGAGTGTGGCTGGAGTCCCAGGGCACTGGTCAAGGGCATCACGGGACAGGCACAGTTAGAACCCTGTCTTCTTTGGACACCGCTGTTGGCCAGGGTGCAGAGGGCACACAGAGATGGAAGAGACAGAGAGCCTGGGAGATCAGCCTGGAACGAGGGCAGTAGCAGAGAGGAGGGGAAAATGAAAACAAAATTAAACAAAAAGCAAGAACCAGGTCCAGGCAATGTCTGGCATAAAGCTTGCTGCAAGAGTACAAATCCACTTATGTATTCTCATTCACTCATCCCTTTCTGCCAGGGGCTGAGTGCAGAGTCGAGTGAGTAGTGACTGCAAATAGGAAAGGTGTTTTGGGAGGTGATAAAAATGTTCTAAACTTAGCTTTTTTCAGTGAGAGTTGTATAACTCTGTGAATATACCAAAATAATCAAGTTGTGCCCTTTATGTGGGTGAATTTTTTTGGTCTGTGAATTATCTCTCAATAAAGATGTTAATTTTTAAAAGACAGTATTTGGAATAGTATCCAAAATATAAAATGCCTAGAAATAAATCTAACAAAAACATGCAAAATCTTTATAAGGACTATTATAAAACTACTGGAAGACATAAAAGTAGACCTACATAAAAGGGGAGATATACCATCTTCATGGAATGCAAGACTCAATACTCTAAAAGCTTCAGTTCTTCTTTAAGTGATTCACTGATTCATAGATTCATTAAAATTCCAGTCAAAATTCCTACAAGATTTTTGGTTATATTTAATGAGCAGTTTCTAAAATGTATATGAAAGTGCAAAGGGATAACAAAAGCCAGGACATTTATTATAGAGTAAGGTAGAGGAATTTGTCTTATAAGACAGCAAGAATTATTATACAAGCCTTAGATAAATAGGCCAAAGAAAGGGAAGCAGAGCTACACACATGTGGGCACCACTGATCAACAGGGCAATGTGGGTCATTGGTAAACAGTACTGGAGCAACTGAATATCTACATTATAAATGACTGAAATCAAATCAATACCTCAACCATTCCAGATGGATTATAGATAACTATTGAA